GCTGTGGCACTACAGAGCTGTAGCTACTCCTGGATCCCATCACTCAGCACCAGGAAAATGCCACTGTTCTTCCAGAGCATCCTGCAAGGCTGCAGCCAAGGCTTTGCTAGTCCCTGCTCACAGGTTCTGCACACCAGGGTTCCTGAGAGATCCCAGCAGCTGTGCCCCCAAGACATATCTGCAGTCCAGTGAGCAGCTGGGGGCAGGTGAGGTGCCACCAAAAAGATCTCAGCTGCTGCCTTTGCAGGAGCCAGCTCCAAGAGCTTCTCTTGTGGCTGTGCTGGCACTGCTTGGAAGTAAAGATGAAACCTCACCACAAAAGGTGCATCTGAACTGAGCACATACAACTCTGACACATAGAAAATAAATATCTCTCGTATGAGCACTCTGTACACAGACGCTGTTCAGGACAAAAACCTACTTTAAATGCTGCCCTAACAGCCATTCCTCCAAGTGGGTGCAGAGGAATTCATCAGAGAAGAGCAGCTCCTGTTACTTGGTCTTTAGATGTTCCTTTCCCCTCCTTAAATCTGTTACTGATGCAAAAGATCCCAGCCCTAAAATCACACATTTTACTCACTGCATTATGCTTGTGATAAAGAACTAACATTTGGCCACTTGTAGAAAAGCATGTACAACAAATAGGCATAAACACTTAAACAAGGAGAGTCTTATAGGAAGACAAGACCACTTGGCTGGGTTATCCAAGAAAATGCAATTGGTTTTGCTTTTCTTAAAGAAGAAAGGAGATGATCAACTTTCAGAATTGGTAGAAAGTTGGTCTGTTTCTATTAACTGACAAACAATATGGTGCAAAGCCATAAAAATTATAAAAATGAAATTCATCTGAACATTGTAATATTATCTGGTTTTTTAGACTTTCAGACTTGCCTTTCACTTATGAGAAAAAACAACAGTGAAAAAGAAAAAAAGTCTTTGCAAACATGAATTTGTACTATGGGAGTTATTTGTGAAGCTTTTTCTCTGGCCTGCTTCTCAGCATAACAGCCAGCAGACAGAAAATTAAAAAAAAAAGAGGAGGAACAAAATAGAAATTACTCTAACAACTGGAAAATTTTATCACTTTCAGAATGAGATTCTGAAAACAAAACCATTATATCCCTTCCTTCCATAGGCATGGATGTGTAAGCCACAGCTGACACAGAGCAGCAAAAAGCTTCAGAGACCTTTGTAAGCAGCAGAGAAACCTTTGTTTCTCCTCCTTGTTCCAACTTGACATAGATATTTTAGCTGTACTACTTCCAGTCAGCAGACATCCTTGGGAACCCTGGCTCTTCTCTGTGTCTTTTTTATATCTTCTCCCTCCTGACTGCAGACAGATCTCAGGCTCCCCTTACCTTTTGCTGAAAACATAAAATATTGAGCTGTTCACAGTAACACCAAAAAAACCCAAAAAAACAAAACAAAACAAAAAAAAACAGGAGAAAACTTCAGTTTTCCATATTAAAGGTTGAATTAAATAAATTTTGAGTCCACAGACTGAATGGAGAAAATTCTTGCCTGTGAGGCCAAAGCTGAGGTCCATCTAGCTCTCAGGCGAGCTGATTTTGTAGCTAGTTGCTGGCAGTAGCAACAGGATATGCAGCTTTGAGGTAAGACACAAACCCTGACATTAACTCAGGTCCTCAGGACAAACCATCATTGCATTAAGGATGCCAGTGAGCACATCCCTTAACAGCCCTGTTAGTCCATTTAATGGATTCACTATCCACAAATTTGTGTAAGTCCTGAATTCTGTCTGTCCCTACAACCTCCTGTGGTAACACATGCCAGAAGTTTGCATTCATTGTGTTAAAAACTTCTGTACTTCCATTTGTTTTAAAACTGTGTGCTACCACTTTCATCATATGCAGTCTTTAGAGTAACAGTTCTCAGTTCACTTTATCTGCCACTGATGTGATTTAGTGGGGTGCTGAGCAAAGGAAAATACCACAACAGCTTTCATGGAAATAAAAAAATATGTCAGGTTACCTTTTAGGAACAGATTTCAAACAGAGGTCAAGGGTCAGGGGATGGGCTGGGATGGGCTGGGATGGGCTGGGATGGGCTGGGATGGATGGGAATGGTGTTATTTGGGTAATGAGTGCAACTCTACATAACAAACCCATGTATTTGACTGAAGATAAAACCTTGGAGGGACATGGAGCCACAAGAGAAAGTGAATACATATCTTAATGTCTGTGACTCAGAAATCCTTTTTTCTTCAAACAGAACAATAGTCACTGTACCCTAGCACAATACATCACTATGTGTTGTAAATAACCAAAACCACTGTGGAGCAAAACCTCAGCTGGCTAAAAACACCATAACTTCACTCTCATAAATTATATAATGACACTTTCCAACATATTTTTGTTTTAATAAAATAAAGAAACAAAAAAATTTGAGGTTCAAAGACTGCTGTGGTCTTGTGAATCTGAGTGTCTTCTCACAGACTCAGCAGTTGTAATTCTAGTTCCCCTAATAATAGGAATTATAATAAAATAGGAAATCATTATCTCAGCCTCTTTTATAATTGATAGACTTATTTTTGTGTAACTTTTTATCTATAAAAATACTAAGATGATAAATTTTTCCTGTTTTTTTCCTGAAAAGTTCCCCCAGATAGAGAGTACCAGTGAAATGTGATCAGCCCACAGAGTTCTTATTTCTTCTGATATTCTATGGAAACAAAGAGCTGGGGTAGGGATGCTTAGAAGCATTTTAGGAATTATTTTCAATGTGTGTTAAATGAATATTCTTATGCAGCTGAGGTTATCTGCTAGAATAGGATCCCACTTCTCAAATTTACGCATTGAAATTCTGAATATGCATGGCCTCTTAGATATCTCTGACTTTTAAGGTTGTGGTAAATCCTGGTGAAGAAATGGAATTGCAGCAAGAGAAAAAAAGGCAACTCAAGCAACTAAAAAAAAATATCTAAAGACATGTGAAGCACTTTTTCTTCCACTACCAAGATGAAACAAGGCACAAAAGATAAAAACTGCTATCTTAAGATAAGTCTTCTAAGTCCTGAGCTTACTCATTACTGAAAGAATGAAACTGTCATTTCCTATATGATTTTGACATGAGGTAAACGTACAGGCTTCTGTTAAGTTTAGAAGACGACTTACAGGAGATATGTACAACAGCCACAATGTAAATTTAATACTGTGTATAAATAAAAAATACAGTATACACATTAAACAAAACAGGTACTACCTGCATCTCCAGAAGGACATGCTTCTCTATTGTTAGAAGCTCTAGGCAGTATTTAATGAAACAACAGAGCCATTTAAAACAGCATGAGAAAGACAGTGAAAAATCTCCAGTCCTATTGGAGTAAAGTTAGAACATGAGATGGCTCCAGGGGTAAAATTTGTCTGAGAATTGGATTTAATATTCTAATTTTAGCAAATAGCTCTGTAAAATCTTCAACGGTCTCACTTTTTTTCATAGGGCTAAACATTTTTCAAGCAATAGGAACAAAATTCTTCATAATTTCTTTAATTGTATGTTGTGAAAAAATTACTTCATTCATGAACAATTTTTGCCCAGAAGTAGGCAGGAGAAGTGTTTTATTTTTAAATTGAGAGAGGATGTCTCCAATAACCCTAATGTGTTTATTATTTGCTTCAAGAAAACCACATTATCTTCTCAGTTTCTGATATCTTCTTCTGACACTCTTCAAACAGTTCAAGGTTTCTTGGGAGTTCCCCAATTATGTGCTGAACACAGCCTGTCTCTTTATAGAATGCAAATTCTGATAGGATTGTAGTCCACAGGAGAAATTTTTGTTTTAAAAATACATAAGAGTTACCTCCTTCTCTTTTCAGGGTTTTGCAGAGGGGCAGGCTGCCAAGGCTTGACATGTTCCAGATGGATACACGGAACAGCAGTGGTGCCTTGTTCTGTGGTCAGACCTCAACACAGGAGGGTAGGAAACAATGGGGAAAGAGTAGAATATTTCAGGCAAAGGCTCCTAGTTTTGGAAAGGGCCACAGGCTTTTTGTTCATTTGCAAGCACTTTCTCACATTACAAGCTGACGGGTTTCTACTGAAGCCCTTGTCAGTCAATCTCTACGTATTTCTCCCTGGTGCTCCGTTAAAGCCAAATAAAACCTATTTGCCTCTGCTTTCCCTCCTTGTTGATGTATGTAGAGTTATCAGCTTCTTGCAGGTGTCTGCTTCTTGCATCTGTAATGACAGCTTAACAAAAAAATCAACCAAGCTCAAGGCCACAGTAAAGCTTTCACAAGAGGGGTCAAAAGGGTTTCCTTTTCTGCTAAAGGTCTGGTACATTATTAGCAGTACTGTGATAGAGATATTTACCTGTTGGTTGCTTTTCAATTGATTCAACATGTGGCTACAGGGAGGTTGGAGTGCTTAGACTAAACCCACTTGAAGTTAAAGTCCTGGGATAATTCCGGGGGTGGGGGTGGGGGTGGGGGGAAGAAAAGAGAGTGCTCATCCTACTTTGGATCCTTTGTGACTTTTCATTCTGTATGGCTCCATTGTGAATTTTCCCTCTGTTTTTAAGTTTAGCCTCAATTATAAGAAAACAAGCAAACAACAAATAGAGAACAACAATCTTGAACAATTAGAGTTTTGACATCTAAGGAAGGCAATATTGGATGAGGTCATCTCATCACAGCCCATAAAGCTATCTCTTCCTCCCTTTGTAATACCCATGTTCCAGTCCAAGTTCCTCCTTAGCTGTTTTGTGGCTAAAGTGAACTAAACATCCCAAGAAAAATATGTGTCTGATTTATTGGTTGTCTGGGAGAATGAATGCTACAAATGCAATCATGTCTAATTTCAATTCAATAGGAAAAGCAATACCCAAAAGAACAGACCTCCCTATGCAAGAATTAAGGAACAGATTCAAGGTTTACAAAGCCAGATGGGAGCAGCCTGCACATTGATCCTGACCTGTAGGAGAGCACAGGCCAGACCACTACTTCTCTGAATTACTTCCTTTTGGAAATAAGGCACATATCTTCAAGAGAAACAGTCAATCTTTATTTTTCAAATTGCCACTGATAGAAAACCTTGTATAGCCACCACATCTATTCCTTTGGTGATTATGTGCCCCTCTCTGGTAAAAACATGTGTGTTTTATTTTTGGTCTGAAGTTATCATTTTTGTATTTCCAGAGACTAGATGCTCTGATGTCTTTATCCGATATATAAAAAACTCCAAATCCAAAAAAAACAACAACAATAAAAAAAAGTTCTTAATGTGGAGAGATATGAACAGTCATTTTTATAAAATTCTTCAAGAAACAGAGCTCTTTTATAGTCTTCTGCTCTGGTGCAAGTTTTCCAGCCTTTTAACCATCCTCTAGATTATCCTAAGAGACTTTTTCTGCTATTCAATCTCCCCATCTTGGATTGTGGACACTAGGGAATATAGATGTTAAGGCCACATTTTCACCAAATACCATACCTATATTCTATTTTCTCATTTCTAGCTCGCCTCTGGAATCTGTGGACTGTGTACCCACTGTGGTCCCAGTTACCATCCAAAATACGCAATAAGTATATTCTGTCTGTATGGCTTTGGTTTTTTTCTTTTTTTTTTTTTTTTTTTTCCCCAGAAGATAGTCTTTACTTCCTAATATGTTACTATCATCTGTTTCACCAGGCAATCTGGTCTGCATCACTATTTTATCTTCCTGCCTATTTTTTTTCTCCCACTCCATAATATTTGTGTCATATCCAGTCTTTGTCAGTGGTTAGTGCATTTTTTTTTTCTTGGACATTGATACTAATACTAAATAGTTTAATTCTGAAAAACGAACCATGCAGGGCTCCAGATAAAATTCAGTTATTTAACAAAGAGTCCAGATTTATAGCATTTCCAATTTACCATTTGATTTTTAAAATACTTAACATCAGTTGCATTCATTTTTTATTATGCTAGTTTCTGAATAAAAACATATAGTGACACCAAGTGAAATTCCATACTGAAGGTTATTTTATTGACATATTAAGTTCTATGCACTATATTTAGAACCTCATCTCCCTTATATCCAAGGCAGCTTGGCAAAGATCTATTTCAAAATCCACTTTGAACATACTAATTTTTGATTCCAGAAGCTCTGTTTCAGCCTCCACTATTTAACCTATCAGTTTTAGACAGGCATCTGCTTATTTCAGTCATTCTACTTTCCCCTTTATAAGCAAGTGTTGTCAGAAAGCTTTTACACAGATATGTACATATTTTACATTTTTAAAGATTGCCAGAATTTACAGCCCTGTTTTCAAAGCCCAAAATTCTCCCTTTCATCTTTAAAGCTTTTTACTGTGGTCCTTTGGCCAAGGAGGGATTTTTGCATAATTTCCATCTTTTGTGCAGAGCACAAACTTCAACAGTCTGGAACATCTGCACTGGCACTTAAGGAGCAGCATGTCTGGTGAGTGCAGTGACCGGAGACACAAGCACCCCTCCTCTCTTCTCTGCAAAGTGCATTTCACAGATACGCATGAAAAGCAGGGCCTAGGGAGAAAAAACTGCAAGTGAAGCAACCAGCAAAGTGTCCAACCATATCTTTAGCCATCCTCCTCTTCTCAGAAGTGCAACAAGCAAGGGAGGCAATACTAACAGCTTTATGAATGGAGCAAAGATACAAATTTTGATGAAGCTGTGTGACTAGTGTGTATTCTACCAGGAATACATGGTAGACAGACCTTACTGGAGCTGCACACATTGCTTTTGTGCCAAGTGTCTTACCTCCAACATCCATGCTTTGTCCTCAGGGTACCAAAGAACAAATGTCCACCGCGGTCAGGAGTTCTAAAACAATTGGCAAAGGAGTTTTCTGATCCACCGACACAGCTTTTAAATAAATCTCAGGCTCCTGAGGATGTTGCACAGGAAAAAAAAAGTCTATCTCATGCCAGTAATTATAAATGATCACCAGGAAGGCTCAGGAAACTATAATCCCCATGAAACTTGGCTTAGCAGCCCAGGGTCTGGGCAGGTAGAAAAGAAAGATTGGAAGAGATACTCATAGAGAGAGATAAGATGTACATTTCCCAGTGGAACATCTAACATCTCCCTGCAGTATTTTGTTTTCTCTTTGACTGAAAAGTGGAAAATACCCTTAGCTAATCATTTCTGGAAGAAATGGGAGACTCAGAGTTCAACATATGGAGAAACCCTTTGGTTACAACAGTCTACTTTTCATGTGTATGTCTGAGGCTGCCAGACACATGCTTCCTTCACAATAACGTATTTAATCTGACCGCTGGTCTTCCTTTTCTTTTTCTTCCCTTGAGACTGGGCAGTGGGGGGAAAGCTTCATTACAGAGAGGGAAGGTTTGTTTGTCTCACAATTTTTATTTACTCCAATCTGTTGTGTATAATAAGGGCTCTTATTCAACTTGCTCTGGAGAGTATTTACCAGATATCAAATATCACAGTTAATTTGCTAGGGGACTTTAATCTTAAAACACCTGCTTTGACCCTGTTCTGGCTAAACTGTAACAGGCATTAGTCTCAGTGCAGAAATGGATATTTTTGGAAGTCACAAGAAAAATGTCAGTTTTCCTGTTACACAACATATGGCTTTTCTGAATTGTTTTTGGGTTTGTGTTTTTTATATATATATGCTTGTTCTAAAAAAATGCTATTTTTCTGCCTTCATAACCAAAGAACATCTGAACTTTTACAGTTGAAACTTCCCAGGTGTTTACTTCAGGCTGTTCGCATGTTGCAAATAAACAAGTTAAAATAATGGAAGCATAATCCATTTAACACACTTCTGTGCACATCCATATTCCAAAACCTCTTTAAGAAGAAAAGAGGAGATTCCAGACTCCTGGGTCTATTAACTTCCATGTTATCAAAGACAATTCATTCCAACATTCAGACTTTGCATAGCAGGGGAAAATATGGGGAGATATGTTATGAAATCAGCATCGTTTGGGAGTTTTTTGCTGCTGCCATTTGGTTGAGGCTGGCTCCACTGCTGTTCTAAGCAGACTGTGACACTTCTTGGCATAGATTTTCAGACTGGTTGATGGAAAGCTGATAGCTAGTAGGTCTCATGGATTTAATCATGAATCATGTGCTTGGTTTTGTTCAGCAATTTCTCTCTAGCATGAATAAATAATGGGAAAATTTAAGCAGTAATAGTTCAAACTCAGAAAGGTTTTAATACCCTTCGTGTTTGCCTGTAAGTTTTAAATAAATATTTAAACTACATCAGGATAATAAGTGCATTAAACTTCACTCCAGTAATCCACCTGTTTCATCTTTCCATCTATGGCAGCAGTCAATATACAGGCTTATTAGACAAAACTTGCCAAATAGATAAAAAACAACCTATATTTTTCCCTTTTTTTTTTCCTATATATGTTGATTAGAAAATGAGCTTACATGTTCAAAGTGCAAGGTACATACCTATTATCAGCTTTGACTTAATTATATGTTACGTTTGGCACACAATTTTACCTACGTTGCCTAGCATCATAGTTGTTAAGCACAAAGCAATGCCTGTGCTGGAACTAGCTGCACTGGTAACTTCATTTTTTTCGTTATGTGGATACAAAGGACTGACAGCTACTAATCGGGATGCCAGATAATTTCTTCTGTCATGCATTTTTCCCAACATTGACTGCTTCTCACTCACTGAAAATTCAATGGAGAGAAAAGCCTCCATTGCACCAGGTTTGTTGGTAGGAGCTGGACCTCAAGGGGGACCCATGCTGGAGCATTCTATGCCTGAAGAGACTGCACCCTGTGGAAAGCATCCACGCTGGAGCATTTCTTGAGGAAGGACTCACACTGGAGAATTTTGTGGAGCACTGTCTCCCATGACTGGAGCAGGGAGAGAGTGTGAGGAGTCGTCCCCTGAGGAGAAAGGAGCAGCAGAGAACAATGTGTGATGGACTGACCTGCCTACAGAGGCTGAGAACTCCCCATCTCTGGATGAGAAGTTGTGGCTGCCCCATCCCTCAAAATGTTCAGGATCAGCCCAGATGTGGCTCTGAGTAGCCTGGTGTAATGGAAGGTGTCCCAGACCATGGCAGTGGGGTTGGAAGTAAATGATCTTTAAAGTCCCTTTCATCTCCCACCATTCTATGATTCTACAACGTCAATCCCTTCTCCTCATTTTTCTGAGCTGCTCTTACAGAGGAGAGGGACAAAAACAGAAGTAAAACAAAATCTGGGAAGAAGGAAGAGCTGGGGAGAATGTGTTTTTAAGATTTTGTTTTATTTCTTGATGTTCTACTCTTGATTTGATCAGTAGTAAACTAAACTAACTTCCCTAAATGAAGTATGTTTTCCCTGTGATGGTAACTGTGGGTGGTCTCTCCCTGTCCTTATCTCAGTCCATTGTATTTTCTCTCCCTCATCTGGCTGAAGAGAGAGTGACATTTTGAGGCTTTGGGGGAGGGGGGGGGGGCGGTAATCTGATGTCCAGCTGGGGTCAACCTATCCCTCACCCCATGGAATCATCTAATGCTTGCAGTTGTAGGGGACTTCAAGGTCATCTAGTTCCAACCCCCTTGTCATGACAGGGACACCAGCCCTCTACCCATCTTTGTGGCTCCCCTCTGGACTTGTTCAAGCTGGTCCATGTCTTTCCTGAGCTGAGGCCCACAGATGCTGGTTATCCAGCTGGGTTACCACAAGTACCAAGCAGAGAGGCAAAATCACCCACCTTAGCCTGCTGGCCAGTCTGTATTTGATGAAGGCCAGGACACCTGGGTTTTCATCCCTGGTGCTCTCGGGGTGGTTGGAGGAGGGTAGCACCTGGATGCAGCAGATGTGTGGAACTTTCCCATGGGGTGGGAGGTGCATTTTGCCATGATGCTGTAAGGAGGATTAGGCTGCAGCTTCCACCAGGAATGGGCTCCTCCTGAAGCAACTTCTCTTCACAGGCAAAGACTTTTGTCCCAGTGGAAACTGAATGTGATGAAAATCTGCCAGGAATTACCCATGTGAAGACTATAAATAATTGGGAAAAAAAAAAAAAAAGGTGGAAATGGCAGGAATGTAAAAATCTGGCGTCTCCCTTTGTGATTTGCAAAGCAACACCCGGAGTCCAGCTGATAACACAAAGAAAATCCTTAGCTTTGGCTTGCTAGAAACAGAGGCAGAAACTAGCAACCTGAATTATGTGAAGTCCATCAGGTGCTGGCACTGGTAAAAAGAAGGGATATTTCAAATAAATAGGGTGAAATGGGAAAACTTCCTTAGAGCACATGTACAAAATTTCATTATTGTTAAACTAGGGAGCCAAGCACAGCTTTTCATTTTCAGCTCCCTGCAAGATTGATTTGACTCGTATATATGAGGGACTTCAGTCTTTTGTAGCCACCTGGAGCAGGGGACCAGCAAAGGCCAAGGTATTTCCCTATCCAGGTGGCCCTCATAAATATCTTGGTGGAATTTATTTTCTTTCATTTACTTTGGCATTGCTTGGGCACTGCTTGATTAAGGGGTGGTGTGTAGGAACTGATATGCCCAGAGATAGACAGCCACATCTGCTAACCATTTGGATTAATTATTACACCTGTACCATAAAACACGTGTTAATAAAGGGTTGGTGAACAGGTTCAGGTTGCAGTTTTAAAAAGGCCCAAAGAAAGCACAATGCTGGTCACATACAAGAGTGAGCCAAACCTTTTGCTGATAAGATGCTGCTGGTTCCAGCCACATCCAAGGAACAGGCAACATCAGATACACATGAAAAATAAATCACACTCAGGAGGAAAGTGAATATCCTGGCAAGCTATGGCTTTGTAGTCTATTGGCTAGAAGGTGAGCGACAGTACACATTCTTTCTTTCCTTCTTTCTTTGCTGTTAAATGTAGAAGGAAAAAAATCATTAATCACTCTGCAGGATACAGCACTTAAATGGGTAAAGTTGCTGAAGGGGTCTGGTTAGCATCAGCCGATTTTTCATTTCCTTTCAGTGGGGACAGTGTGGTGCTCTGGAATCCCTGGAGCCCAGGAGCATGAATGCAGGTATTGAATTTTCAGGAGGAGACAATTAAGACCAAGCATGTGAGATACAATCACATTTAAATTAATTCAGATACCTCAGCTGAAGACCTAACCCTCTGCCTTCTTTCTTCTTTAGGAAGCATATTTGGGAGGGCTTTACTGGGCTGGCATTAATCATTAATCATATGAGCCTTGTGTCAGTTATGATGGAACACAATGGAGCTCTGTATTTATTATTTCTTCCCCTGAAAAGGTTTACCATATTCCTTCTACCTGTGGAAAATCACTTTCTTGAACAATCACTGCAAACATCTTTTGCCTGTTTTTTACAGCTCTTTATCCTGAGACGGACTGAAGTCAGAATGGAGTGAATATGAGCCCTGAGCCTGATGCCAATTCCTTATTATTATCCAGTTATCCCCTTATCCAAACTAGCTTCCATTGTGATCTACAGGTGAACTGAAGAAAGAACACAGGACCATTGTGAGGACATCTCAGTGTCATCTCACCTGCAATCCTTCTCACTCTGGGCTTCATCTGTGACTGATGCTGGTGTTTACCTGGTATCTTTGATGGGGAGTTACATCCATCACTGCAAATACCACTAATAAAGGGGCACATCATGAGCTGCTCTGATGTCCAGTGCCACTGGGCAACAGTGCATGGTTAAGGAAATCTTCCCAAAAAGAGCAGGCCAGAGCATGCACATGTCCCTTAAACCTGTTCAAACGATATTTCACTGACAAATCCAAGAGTTCAATACATTTAGTCCTGACCTGTGGCAAATGCTCCAGCCAAACATTTCCCAAACTGAGTTTGACATTGAGAGATTGGCAAAAGATGCGTAACTCAACCAAAAAAAGCTTTCCACTGGGGAAAGACAACTTCAAAGTGAGGATGGGTCTTTCATGTCATCACAACTCCATCTCCAGACTCTACCAGAATGCTTGCAGCAAGGGCAGTTTGTAAGAAGCAAAAAGCCTACCTTTGGGAAGGTCCTGGAAAGACAGTCTGGCCATCCAAAGTGAAGGATGCTCTTTCAAAGAGATTTTTCATTAATCAGGACAAGAAGATTAGGTTAAATGTCTGCCTCATCTGACCAAAGAAATATTTGTATGGAAATATGGCAATCTACAGGGGAAAGGAGTATGGAAATGTGAAATATACCCAGATATAATTTTAAGAGATAAGAGATCGTCCATGATAAGTCTGATAAGGCTATTTATCTTGAGATATGTGTTTCAGTGTTGGAGGTTTACTTTCCTCTGCAGCCTCAATTTCAGGTTTTGTGATCTTTATCTGTATATGCATTTACTTCAACACTTTGGAGGATTGGAGTTAAAATTCGAATTTCATTTTCATTATTTTCAAACCATACTTCTGCAGTCCTTCTTTCATGTTAGTGGTAATATTTAATAATGTACATTTTTGTGGCTATACTGATCATTTGAGTTCTGTCCAGATAATAGGTGCCAGTTGCAGTATATGAATTGCAGTAGGTAGAAACTACTGGTATATCAACAACATTCATTTTTCTGAACTGGAATGATCCCTGGAATGTATTCATTTCAAGCTATTGTTGTTTAGATTTACTATCCAGCTCCACCTTCTGGTAAACTTGAATTAAATCTAAATTTAAGTTTCTCTCTACCTACAAATACTGAAAGAAAATCCTTCCCTTTGTAACTATGCTTAAGGATGAATTATACTGATCTGTTTTAACCTTGCCAGTCACTGAATTTGTACCCCATAGCCTTTTTCAGGGATACATGAAATAAAAGCACTTTCAAAGTAAGCTTTAAACTTTAAGGGAGATAATCTGCATTCTCAAGTCATTAAATTTCTGATTTGAGGCATCTCTTCATGAATAGGTCCCAGGCTCCAAAATTACAGAATTGCTTCCTAAGACTCATACTGCCACAGTTCTTTTAATCTTAGCTGCTTTTGAGAAAGAATGTACAAATGTGTCTAGTGAGATATTCATTCATTCTCAAAGAGTTTCTCAAAAAAGATAAGCATGAATGTTTATACCCAACACTGAGCATAAATTTTAAATTGCTCATTTATCCCTTTGCTTCTTATCCCTTTTGTAAAATATATAAAGTAATCAGACAGTTATATGTCACATACAAGGGACATCCAGTACTACTGAGTTATGAAGAACACAGGAGAGCTGCATTCCTGTCTTGGACAGGACATGGGGATGCTATGAATTTCAAAACCAGTTATTTAATTAATCCATTCATCCAGGCTCCTATCTATGGTGTTTGGGTTTTCATGCACACATCTTGCCTGTGCATTTGCAGTTTCTTTTGAATCCTCACCATTTTTATTTTTATATTTATAGTATATAAGCTGTATCTCTACTAATAAGCTAACTAGGGATCAAAGGTTAGTCAACAATCATCTATAATGTTAGCTTTTGGTACACACACTGACACAGCTTCCCCAAAACAGCTAAACCCTCATGGACAAAGCCAAGGCACAGTCTAAGGAGCAGCACAGGCCAGTGAGAATTTCCCACAGGCATTTTGGGCAGTGTTAGGCATACCACTACCCTTTACTGCTCATTTTATTATTAAGGATTGACATTGTCTATCACTCTTATTTTCTGTTCCTGAGAACACAGAAGACTGACAGCCTGCTTCATGTTGTGACTGGGCAAAAGGTGCATCAGGAGCTTGTATACACCTTGTACAAACCAAAATGAAACTGCAATTTATTTCCACTTACTCCCCATGAGCAGACCACCTCTGTGTTTGACTGTGGCCTGCAATGGGCTAAGAAATGTCTCTTCATTATACTAGTGTGGAGATTGTAAGGTTTTTAATATGCAGAAGGCTGAGGACAGTGTGCATTTTAATTTATTTTCTCTTTAACCAAATCCCTATCTTCTTCCTGTGTTTCTACTCAAAGAGTGTTCAGCTGCACTACAGCTAATGGAGGTTTGCCTGAGTAAGGACTTAACATTTGTCCTCTTACTAAAAAAACCCATCCCATTGTTTCTTGCTTGTGTTACCATAGGGCATAAGATGTCTGTTTTTCAACCAAAGTCCCATAGGTCTGAGGACAAAAAGAAAACACAGTTCCTCCCTTCAAAGTGATCATAAGGCAAAACACAATGGGCAGCTACAGACAGATGAATGAGCACACAGGCACAGAGAGACAGAGCTGGTCAGTGCGATGTGCTGCAACCTAACCATTGTCACCGTGGGCATCAATGGAAGAAAAACAATTGGAAAGAGAACTGAGCCAAGAGAGACATTTTATTTGCAGAGGAATTTGCATCTCAGCACTTGGTGACAATCCAGCAGAACAAAAAGCGGAACTGTTGCAATGCTGAGTGAGAAGGGGCGCGGAGCCCCTGCTGGGGATGTTCTCCTGGCGGGCTGGCCCTCACGGGACTTGCACAACCTTCCAGTTGCAGCGAACTGGCACATGCCAGCAACCACAAAAACACTTCCGGCACAGTTTTTCCAGCCAGTGAAGCCTGAAAGAGAGTGGTGGAACAGATTTTGTCTCCTATTACAGGGAATGCCTCCAGGAATGAGAAGGAAAAAAGGGAGAAAATGTGGTCATTAGATCTGAAAATGTAACATACAGGCACTCTGGTATGGCACCATAGTCAGGCCAAAGATCCAATAGCATCCAAGTGAATGAGAGATAATGGGTAGTGTAAGAACTGACTGCACACAGCTACAAAGGATAGACCAGTTCCAACCCCAGGCAGCGCCACAGGCTGGGGGCAGAGTGGCTGGGGAGCTGCACAGAGGAAAAGGACCTGGGGGTGCTGGTGACCGCAGCTGAACATGAGCCAGCTGTGCTCAGGTGGCTGAGAAGGCCAATGGCACCTGCCTGGATCAGCAATAGTGTGGCCAGCAGGACCAGGGCAGGGATTGTCCTCTTGTATTCTGTACTGGTGAGGTCACACCTCAAGTGCTGTGTCCAGTCATGGGCCCTCATGGCAAAAGCATTGAGGAGCTGGAGTGAGTCTACAGAAGGAAAATAAAAATGGTGAAAGATCTGGAGCACAAGACCTGTGAAGAGTGGCTGAAGGAGCTGGGGCTTAGCCTGGAGAAAAGAAGGCTCGGGGGGACCTTATTGCACACCACAACTCCCTTAAAGGAGGTTGTAGCCAGGTGGGTGTCAGTCTCTGCTCCCAGCAACCAGTGACAAGAAAAGGGAAAATTATATTCAAGCTGTGCCAGGAAAGGTTCATACTGGACATCAGGAGGAATTTCTTCACAGAAAGGGTTGTAAAGCAGTGGAACAGGCTACCCAGGGAGGTGGTGAAATCATCATCCCTGAAGGTGTTCAAGAAATGACCGGACAAAGCACTTAGTGCTCTGGTTTAGTTGATATGGTGGTGATTGGTCAGAAGTTGGACTCAATAATCTTGGAAGTCCTTTCCAACCTTAATGATTCTATGATTTAACGCAGGAGGAAGAAGGAGGGGAAGGTTTCAAACAAAGAATGACATGATCACAGGCACAGTCTGTGAACACAGAAATGCCAAGTGACAAAACTGGGATGAATTTCTCTGTGTACATGGAAGCTCAAATCCCCATCCCACTGTGCAAAGTGAGTACGTGGTCTGAATGGGATTCATGAGTCACAGATTCTGCCCAGATGGACTCTGAGTGACCAGCAGAATGGTGATGCTCTCCCAAAGAAGTGGAAAGTGATTTTTAGTCAACCTGAATTCAAGGTATTAATTAACTGTACATAAAGAAGTGTAGCTAACACAAGTGAGATTTTAAATTGGACGGGAGAATGATTTTTCTCTAGCAGTGACATGAACTGCTGACATGGAGTGATTTGTGTGGAGACACTCAATGGATTTGTGCCTTTGTATGACTAGAAATTTGAGGGACTTTTACATCGAAAGAGGTGTCAAAAAGGATCACACTCATAAGGAAACTTGAGTCTGACCAGGCTCTGGGCACAGGAAAGAAAAGTTACCTCTGAATTCAATTATCTGCAGGATATCTTTGTCCTAGGGTGTCAGAAAGACTGCAGAATGGTCAGCCAACACCACCACCAGACTGAAGTGGCTGGGACATTTCCTCTGCTTTGACAGCTCCTCTTTCCCTTGAGTGGAAGGAGACTGACCCAAAAATACCCTGAAAGATGATGAAAAGGAAACTGCTTGGCTACAGTTTTTCCTTGCCTTTCTCTGCTTTTTGCAGTCTCTTCCTCTGACTTATCTTTTCTTTTTTAAAAATTTCAGTCCTGGCAAGCAATATGAAGAGGCTCCAGACAGGCAGGGAACGTATCAGAAATACAGGTGATTCAGAAAATCAGGGTTGCATCTCCTCTGGTTGCTGGCACATATTTAATTGATAAATCTAGGTGGAACTTTTTAAGTTCCTAATGCTCTTCTTTTCTCACAAAAAAAAAAAAAAAAAAAAAAGATGTCCTCTGCAAAGGAGTCCATGTAGACCTCATTTTAATCTACATCATTTTGGAGGTCAGTTGGAGAGCTGTTTTGCTGAGGCACAAAATTATTCTCATTGGCAATTCAGTGCCTTGGTTTTTGGCCTATAATGACAACAGTTACCAGTCTAAAAAGTACATCTTGCTTTTATTGCCAGTAGAGTTCAAATGTCTTATATTTGAATATATGCTATGTGGACACCCATTACACTTAACAATTTTTAACTCTTTTCTTAAGCCTAAATGGAAGTTTCTACACATCTAATGAATAACAGGATACAAAAATTATAACTGTGATTAAAAAACACAATTTGTAGTCTGTCACAATATTTTAAGTTTCTTTGTGTTTAGATACTCAGTTCAAAATTGTATGTGCTAGACCTCTTAGTGGTTAGAGAAAACAGTGGGGAGTTACTAGTCTGGAGCCAGAGGGTGTCTGATTTTCATTGGAAGCTGGAATATCCAAGGCAAGAGTTGGAGAAGCCAAAAGTCCTTCAGAATAATTTTTCTGTTTTGCAAAATAAACAAAGGAGGATTCAAATGAAAGCAATGCTGGGACAGATTCCCATAGGAACACACAGCATATTCTGGCAGGATGCTGGGGCTCTTTTCTGCTCTGATTTATATCAGAAGAATAAACACTCTTTATTATTTACCAGCTGCCAAGGACCAGCATAACCTACAGGAATAATATGATTCAGTAATCTACAATACATCTATTTCTTGGTTACCTTGTCTTTTCCCCAGCTCTGTGCTCTCATGATCTCTGTGCATATGATTTGACTGAGTCCTTCAGCAGGAGAAATGAGATCCAGTACAATGTCCTGCCTCCTGGCACTTTTCTGTCCTTCTGCAACAAACAGGTTTTGCAGCTGCTGAGATATGGTCCCTATAGAGCAGATAGTTACACCAATGCCTTACACCACTGATCATGTGTTATATAAGGACAAACTGTACAACTGTGATATAAACATGACATACGATATAGTTACACTGGAGTAACTGCATCCACAGCTGTAGAATGCTCCACCAATTGAACTGTGCTGAAATGATCAAATCAATGCCAACCTCGCATTCAGGCATGTTCTTAGAAACCCTAACTTTAAGGAGGAAGTTGCCTATTTCCTTAAACCCTGATCCAGATTCAGAGGGAGATCTCACCTCCAGCTCCATGTCTGCCTTGACGCCCATCATAGATGCCCAGCTAAGATCCCCAGGGTGACTGGGGGGAATTGCTGTTCTTCAGCATATTTTTCAGGTTACAAAATAGATCTGGATCAGCACAAAGTGCCATTCCTCCTCCCCTTATTCTACTTCCTCCAGTCTCTTCAGCTGCATGCAAGCTATTAGGAACTGGGAGTTGATCAGTCTGCTCATCTTGCATGACAGCAAGACTGTACTGCACTGAACCCTTTGGGCAACCTCTTAACAACATATGATTTTATTGTCTTCTTCACCTAGTTCTGTGCTTTGTGCACATAGGAAAGGTACACTGTACAACTCAATAGTGTGTATCCTTTAAAGAAAAAACTCATAATGGACACCTTTTTTAAAAAGAGGACTGGTTTTACTATTCACATATTACTTCATCTACTTATAGTTATTTTGGGGGATTAGAATACACCATTCTTGGCTGTTTAAAACAATTATGGAAGTAGGATATTTGTTAAAGTTCTTTCTGCCAGACACTTTAAGCTACACAATGCACTGCTGCCAAAAGGTCACTTCCTATAAATGAAAACTAATTGCAATGTCATAAACATCAAAGACCAGACTCAAGGTCTTCTATTCTCAGCTAGTTATTTTACCCCTCACAACCAGAGAATCCCATAAAATTGTCCCAGAAGGGATCTCTAGAGGTCATCTTTTCCATTCCCCTGCCTCAAAGTATCAACTCCACCTACATCATCTCCAGTAGCTATCTTTCTCTCTGTGCAGACACAGAAGTGAAAAGGAATGCCACCTTCATTTCCTCTGGAGCCAAGAGAGTTGGAGATAGGCAACACTGGAAGGTGTTCGGCATATCAGTGAATAGAGAAAGACCTTACTCAAAACCAGGATTTCCTATGCAAAACACAGGAGATCAGAGATTTAGGCAGCTTCATGTTATCACCAGGTCAGTCTGTCTAGCTGCTACTGAAAGACATTCATCTCCTGGGTCCTAGTTCCCTTTCCTGACTGCTCCAGTCCCAACACCTTGTCACCTATTCCTGTCTTGTTGCTTACCTGGTCCCACTGGAGGCTGATTCACACAAGT